TATTGCCCTCTCTTTAAATTGTAGAAGAGGGGAAAAAAAAAAACTTTTGCCTTCAATATTTCAACTAGAAATCAAAGTCAAGGGAATTTGCAGAAAGTATAAGTAGTCCTTAGTCGGCCTTCATTTTAAAGTAAGAAACCCACCAAAAGTAAAAGCAAAACTAACAAATCCCACTGCAATGTTTGGTAGCCTTCAAGAAGGCATGAGGAGAACCAGATGTCTCCCTAGGTATAGCTCACATTCCCCCCATGAACTTCTAAAACCAAAGTCTTCAAACAGGAGGCCAGGTACACCCCAGTGGAAGGCACTTAGATTGCATAGTGATTAGTAAAAAGCTTTCAAGTGTAAAAGATAAAAATATGGATTCAAGTGAGAAGAGAAATGATGTTAAGTTTCAACTATAAGAGAAAAGCTTTTGCATGTATTTTTTAAAGTGGATGATAATGAGTAACAATTTGCTCTTTTATTTAGATTTTACAGAACATATTTAAGAGAATGATGTAGCAACTTCTTTTAGTTTTAAGGTAATCAATACCTAAACCCGCAAAGGTTATTTATAAGGGAACTTCAACAAGTTCACAGAAAATAGAATTAAAGTATGCATTTATTTTGGTACAAAAATGTTTTAAAATTCATGCATAGATTTTTTTCCTAATACTCATTTCCCACGAACTTTTTTTTTTTTTGAGAGGTTTTCGCTATAGGGCGCGTGTGCGCGCCAGACAGACAGAGAGAGACATAGAGACAGAAAGCGAGAAATCACCCCCTAGAGGGGATGGTCACGCTGCAATCACTTCTCCTCCATTCTCCTCTCAGGATCTTGGGCACGCACGCACATGCGCCCGGCGTGAGTTTTAAGCCACCGAGTCCGGGACACGAACCACGGTTAACTACGTGGGAGTCCAGCAACATAGCCATTATGCTAACTGCTGGTTCCCCCACAAACTTTTTGAAGCCTCCTCATATTCTCTCCTAAACGGCTCTGGTTGAGAGCAAGCCATGTCAGGGCATCACACCTATTTTCCTTCCTCACCTCCTTGCACAATTGTACTTTACCCTTTTTTATTTTTAAGGTTTTTGACATAGGGCATGTGCGCTCCCCAGAAAGATACAGAGAGAGGAAAAGTAAGAAATCAACCCCCAGGAGAATGGCTATACCACAATACTTTCTCCTCCATTCTCCTCTTGGGAGTTTGGGCATGCACTCGCATATTTTTGTGTTATTTTCAAGCCGCTGGGTCTGGGACTTAAACTGCTGTCAGTCATGTGGGAATCCAGTGCCTTAACCACTACACCACTGCCGGCCCTAGCACTTTACCCTCTTCACAGAAGAATGGCAGACCTTTTGCTCATTCTGAATCTTTCTGTGCTTCATTTTGTTTGGCCTCAATGTCTGCAATTTTTGAGGTGGCAGAGAGACAATTGGAGGTGGTGTCCACTAGGTCTCTACTAATGAAGACACGGGTCAGCTTCTCAACAGGGTATTTTGCATGTCTCTAAACTGGTGAAAAGTTTCACAGTGACCTTTGACAGCTCAACATTACGTCTTGGGTAGAAGGAACACGTATCCAGGATACATTTCCTTGGCAGTGTATTTGAGATCATAAAAGAAGCATTTCAGGGACCAGCAGTTAGCATAATGGCTATGTCGCTGCACTCCCCGTAGTCGACCGCAGTTCGCATCCTGGACCTGGTGGCTTAAACTCATGCCGGGTGTGTGTGTGTGTGTATGTGTGCCCAAGATCCTGAGAGGAGAATGGAGGAGAAGGGATTGTGGCATGGCCATCCCCCCTGGGGGGTGATTTCTCACTTTCTCTCTCTCTCTCTCTCTCTCTCTCTCTCTCTGTCTGGCGAACGCACGCACCCTATAGCAAAAACCTCTAAAAAAAAATTAAAAATTTTTTTAAAAAGCAGCATTTCATTACTTGTCCAAAAACATATTGGAGAAACAGTGAAATGGAAGTATATTCATATGTCCCCTCTACAAGTATTTCAGCTTGCTCTCAACCATTACCCTGACCACATACATAATCCTCCAATGTGCTCATTTAATCTAAATGAACTCAATAGGAAGATATGAATTCTAATGTTATAAGTTGCTATAAGAATACTCAATATAGCTTTTTAAAGTACTATACCAGTAACTTCTCTTCCTTTAACATTAATTTTTCTTGACTCTCAGGTCATCAAGCAAATGCGATATTTATCCACAGACATATAAACTAAGAGACACAATTTCAATAAAAATTTAC